ATGTAGTTACAAATCTTAACTATATAATTCCAAAAAGCAAAAGGGACCATTGTTGAGGGTTGATCTTAAGAGTCTGATAAGGGTTTAAGATCCAAGGCAGAGTTTGACTTCTGCCCAGACTTTTACCCAAAAGGGCTCAATGATTAAGTGGTACGGCTCTCCAATTCCTTCCTGATCAGGAGGTCCCCGAGACATTCCTTTTCACTCTTTGAACCTTAGATTTACACATTCACTCCTCTATGCAGGTGGCACCAAGGCGCCTGGGAAAACCTTGGAAAATACAACCCAATCTAGGAACCCTGATAACAAGGAAATTCATGTTGTCACATCCTCAGCAGATGTTCTGGGGAGTATCTCCCAGGGAGGACTCTTTGAAGTTAGGCTAGATTTTCTCTATATATCCTGTACACTCAGATGAATAAACTGAGTCAGTAATTCTGCTCCACCTGGCCCATGTCACAAGTTATTTCACGCCTCTCCATTTGGTATACAGTCTGGTTGCGAGCAACAGACCATAATGAGATTGTAATGTAATTTACATAAAGTCTTTCACTGCTGTCAACTATACCTCAAGGTAGCCTCGTTTAGCCATTGGTGGCTTTTGCCGGTTTGTGACATATTACCTATCACATATTGCTTTAACGAGAAAATATCTAGTTTTTGGAGAAAGAAATACATAGAGAAGTTTCCCATTTATTTTCAGGTAGTTATAAAACCTTTCATGTGAAAACAAAACTATTAGGAAAAAAAAGGAACATTTTTTCCAATGAAGTCTAATTCCTCTGGTTCTTAATTTTAAGGAAAGAAGTGAATTCTGACAAAGAAAGCTGGATGAAAAAAATTTGGCCTGACTAAAATTAAGGCAGACCATGATTTGTATCCGTAAGTAGTAGGGAGCCTTTTTTTTCCTGACAAGTACTCATGGAAAACTAGACAAACTGTACTTAAAAAAGCTACTTTTTAAAAAAATGTCTTTTTAAAGTACATAAGATTGAAATAATTACTTCTAAACAACCTATACATATTGGATAAAAGATAATAGCTCTCATTCGTATTATACTTTTAGGTTTGCAAAGCACTTTACAAATACTATCTCATTTTATCTTAACCTCAGCAGGTAGGTTGCTATTATTTTTCCTATTTTACAGGGGAAGGAATTGAGGCAGACAGAAATTAAGTGACTTGTCCAAGGTCATGCAGCTAGTCTGCGGCTAGACTTGAACTCAGGTAAAGGTGTCAAAATTAAGAACTATAACCATCAAACTTTCATTGTAGGCCATAGAAGACAAATGAGCAAAACAGTCTGAGTTGCCAGTACCCTTAACAATGGAAACCCTCCTTCCCTGCTTTATGGAGGTGTGACTTTCTTTCAGCTACTTTTCTCAAGGAATTAGTTTTCCTTCTGAATTCAGCCCACCACTATGGTAGCCAGAGGTTGGAAAGTCAAAATAAACTCATCTGTGCTTTGCTCCCTCAAAGCTTGCTACATTTACTGATTTGTGTGAACTAGCACTTGCAGACTCCTATTCCAGTGTTCCATCCCCTGCATCTGGACTCAAGTGGAGTCGAATATAAATCCTGCCTGAGATCCCTGCCAGCTACACAACCCTAGGCAAGTCACTTAATCCCTGCCTGTTTCCTTTTCTTTTTTTTTTTAATATATTAATTTAATATATTAAATATATTTTATTCTGAACCTAAGAAATAAAACAAGCATTTCTATAATATAGTAGAATAGGAAAAAAGAGATGGTTGCACTTGAAATTGCAAATCTATTATGTACAACTTGCTATTCCCTTTAAATATATAATTGTCATTTCTCATAACAATAGTATTCCATCACAAACATCACAACTTGTTCAGCTCAATTGATGGGCATCTCTTCAATCTCCAATTCTTTTTCAATACAAAAAGAACTGCTAAAAATATTTTTATACAAATTGCTCCTTTTCCCTTTTCTTTGATCTCTTTGGGATATAGACCTCAGAGGGGTATTGCTGGATCAACAGTTTTATAGCCCTTTGGGCATAGTTCTAAATTGTTCTCCAGAATAGTTGGACCAGTTGACAATTCCACTGACAGTGCATTAGTGTCCCAATTTTCCCACATCCTCTCCAGCCTTTGTTATTTTCCTTTTCTGTCATGTTGGCCAATTTAATAGGTATGAAGTTACTGCCTCAGAGTTGCTTTAATTTTCATTTCTCTAATCAATAGTGATTTAGAGCATTTTTATATGACTGTTGATAGCTTTGATTTCTTCTTCTGGAAACTGCCTATTCATATCCTTTACATTTATCAGTTGGGGAGTGGATCTTTTTTTTTTTAAATAAATTTGGCTCAGTTCCTTATATGTTTGAGAAATAAGGCCTTTATCAGAGAAGTTTATTGTAAAATACAGAGATTCTGTATTGTAAAATTCCCCCTCCCTCCCCAGTTTTCTGCTTTCCTTCTAATTCTGGTTGCCTTGGTTTTATCTATGCAAAAAAATTTAATTTCATGTAATCAAAATTATTTATTTTAACCTCCTATGATCTTCTCTATCTTTTGTTTGGTCATAAACTCTTCCCTTATTAATAGATCTGACTGCACATTTTTTCCATGCCAGCCCTCCCACTCCCAAAATTTACTTATGATTTTGCCCTTTGTCCACATTGTGTACCCATTTTAACCTTATCATGGTATATGGTATGAAATGTCAATCTATACTTAGTTTCTGCCAAACTGCTTTCCTGTTTTCCTAGCAGTTTTTGTACAAAAACTTGCCCCAAAAGCTTGGATCTTTGGGTTTATTGAACACCAGATTACTATGGTTATTTACTACTGTGTATTGAGTACCTAATCTATTCCACTGATCCACCCCTTTCTTAGCCAGTAGCAGATTGTTTTGTTGACTACTGCTTTGTAATATAGTTTAAAATCTGAAGATTATAGGCCACCTTCCTCCACATTTTTTTTTATTGATTCCCTAGATATTCTTGACCTTTTCTTATTCCTGAAATAAATATTTTCAATTCAATAAATATTAAGCACCAGCTGTGAGCAAGGTGTTGTGCTAGGCACCTGGGAGATACAAGAAGAAAAATGAAATGATTCCTTCCTTTGAATGGCTAATATTCCACTGAAGGAAATACCACACATGTAAAAGCATGTAGCCACAAGAGCAGTTGAAGAGAGAAGGGCAATGGAAGGGACTGAACCAAATTAACTTTATTGATATGGGGAACTTGCTTCTCTGTGAAAAAGTAGTCTTAGTTGCCTAAGGCACTGAAAGGTTAAGGGACTGAACCCAAGTTCTTGGCTTCATATGGATTGTACCACACTTTCCATCTTGAAGAAGAAAAGAGAGTTGCCACCTGGACTGGGATTTTAAGGAAGATGTGAGTTCAAAGACCAGAGATAAGAGAAGGCCTTTCTAGCATGGAGGACTGGGGCAGCTTTTGCACAGGCAGGGAGGAGCTTGGGGGTGCGGAGGAGGGCAGAAGGTACTGAGAAATGATGTAAACAAGGAATCCAAGAACTTCATTCCTTCCCTGAATAAATCTCTGAAGGGCAGTTGACTACTTCAAATGCTTCTATAAATAAATGCTTTAAAAAAAATAAGCAAAGCAGTCTTAAGCATCAGGTCTTTAGTAGTTTCCCTCCCCAGTGACAATACAAACAGTGCAGAGTGAAAATACATGTTTCTTACTCCAGCTTGGCTGAGATGGGGAAGATGGGATGGAAGGGAGACACAAACGAATGGATTTGAGGGTCTCTGTTCCTCCAAGTTCATGAGTATAATGAAAGATGCCTGCCACCATGGTCTTACTAACCACTCTACCCTTCAGATAGCCTGGGTTAGGTGGGATAGTTCCCAGGCTTAGTTTAAAATCCAGCAGATATTGGATGTCTGAGACCAACACAGTGTCTCCTTCAACAGTCTCATGTGATCCAAGCTGAAGGTTACCAACCTGACACCTGGCCAAAGGAGTGTAGGGTCCAAGTTATCAGCTGGTCCAGTGTCCTCCAGCCATCCGTCTGGGACTTAACCCCTGATCCTCAGACTCTCAAGTCCACTCCGTCACAGCACTCACCCTAGCACCAACCCTTTCTCCATCCTCCAGTCCCTGTTGACACTATTGATCACCCTCTTCTCCTTCATACTCTCTTCTCTTTGGGTTTTCAGGCCACCACTCTCTCCTGGTTCTCCTCCTACTTCTCTGACCACTGCTTCTCAGTCTCCTTTGCTGGATCCTCCTCCAGATCATACCCTCTTATTGTAGGTTCTATTCTGGGCCTTCTTCTCTCTCTATATGAATGTGAAATGGTGCTAAGAATGCAAGTAGATACAGGCATTTTGGCGGATCCGGGATTCACTGCATGCACTCCCTCTGGGCCACTGATGTCCCTTCTACCCTTTACTTGTTTCTGTCTCAGGTAAAAAAAATTCATTGTTAGTATACATGGTTCCCCAAAATTAGACTCTAAGTTCTTTGAGGATACAGATTTCTCTTTCATCCTTGTATTCCCAGGGCTCCTTTGCAGTTTCTCACACTCTTAATAAAGCTATTGAATTGAATTGAAAGAACTTCACCAAAATCCATCCCATTACTATGTCTGAAAAGAGGTGAGTTATTGTAAAATTATGTTCACCTTTTTTTCTACCAGTAGACAAATAAATAAACCATATTTTATAACTTGGAGATATTGCTGCCTTTGGCTAGTATAAGGGAAGGTGCTGCAACTACTAAGTTACCAATCTGCAGGAATCTGAGCACTTAGCAGTGTATAGAAAGTTGTAGAGAAATGGTGGCAGAAACCCTTTGTGGGGATTACAAAGAAAAAATTATTTCTAGAATTATAATATGTATAAGAAATGACTGGCGAGCCTTAGTCTTTTCTAAAATGACTTTAATAAGTACATAATTATAAATTTTTCTAAAAAAAAAAGGAGAGGGTTAGGTATCCCTCTCTCTTTTTCATTTCAGTGTTACAAATACTGTTTCCCACCCACCCACCCACCCCCTAATAAAAGTGCATAAGAAAAACTTAAACAAAATAAATAAATTACAATTCTAGTGTTAGCATATATACATTTTTAAGTAGTGCTCACAATTCTAGTTAGTGGGAAAGAAAAGTTTTTTCCTAAGGGTGTATTTAGGTTGTGGCATCTGCTTCCCTTTGTTGTTCGGGTCAATTTTTTGGCTCACTTCAGAGTTTACATCTGTCAGGATGTCAAGAATAGCCACTCCTCTGAAAAACAGGATATCACAAAGAAATTAACCAAAGGATGAATATATACTATGGTAAACTGGGGAAGGACTCCTATTCATAACCCCAGGGTTCCAACATGGTCAGTAAGATCAATGGGTTCACAAAGTCATGTGAGCTAGTGGTCAGACTGCTTTTCCTCTCCCCCAATAAGAGTACCTTAGGGAAGAGTGGGTTGGGATGTTATACATTAGAATTTTTTTTCCCCAAACAATACTCCACGCTACTCTGACCATCCACTAAGTCTTGGAGTGACATCAACCTCAATTTCTCTATCTATGTGATAAGGAAAAGAACACTGGACATCATAGAGTTGTCTGAAAAAACTGCCTATAAAATACTCAATTCTTCAAAAGAAAGTACATGGAAAAGGGGCATAATGAGGGAGGAAAGGTAATTGCTATGCTTCATGTCCACCACAAACATGAAGCATTTTCTCAATGTCTGAGAATATTAGGATTGCAAGGTTGAGTGGGCAGGTATTTGGAGGTAAATGCTAAGGGCAGGCCAAGAAGAAGGGAAGAAAAAAGGGTGAGGGAGGTCATAATTACCGAGGACATTTTTCCTTCAGATTCTTGCAAAGGGACTGTATGTACCAGGTCCCCTCCTTTGGGTGTCGGTAAGAGATATGATTCTCCACAGTTGCCATCCCAAGTAAAAAGTCGGCCTCATCTGGAATGCATTCACTCTGAAGAAATGCATCTGTTTCCAGAGATTCTCTTTGCTGCTCAGAATCTGTATCGAGGGTGATCCCACTCTGGATGGTCTTGCCTTGACAAGCTTGAATAAAAAATACTTTGGGTTTACCAGCAAGGGACGGGCACTTGGAACTAGAGAAATACGATGTCAGATCCTTGATGGCCACCTCCTGCCCATCAATGCCGTAGATGGTACCTCTATCCCCATGGGACAGGAGGCAGCAAATAAAGCAATCTTTGCCATCGTGGTTCCTGTCCCGGTAATACTGTAGGTCCTTGTGTATTTGCTCTGCTGTGCGATCTTGCAAATGTACAATTTCAAAATGAAGCTCCTTGAAGGTGTTTTTCAGAGCATCTAAGAAGGGAAACAGAAGAAAACACCTCAGTGAACTAAGAGTGGAGGCAAAGAAGTTGAAAACAGAAGGTACAAATCACATCCCACTAAATGATTGCCTGGCTCCTTCAGACTACTGGTACTTGGGCTTAGCAGATGCATCATTGCCCCAGGACTGAGATGGATAAGAGGGAAGGTAAAGACCATTTTTATAAATTGATTTACCATGACAGATAGCCTACAAGTTCCATCGTTGTTGTTTAGTAGTTTTCAGTCTTGTCCAACTCTTCATGACCCCATTTGGGGTTTTCTTAGCACAGATGCTAGAGTGGTTTGCCATTTCTTTCTCCAGCTCATTTTATAGATGGGGAAACTAAGGCAAATGGAGTTAAGTGACTTGCCTAGGGTCACACATCTAGTAAGTGTCTGAGGCCAGATTTGAACTCAGGAAGATGAGTCATCCTGATTTCAGGCCCAGCACTCTATCCACTGGGCCACTTAGCTGCCCCTAGTCTGCAAGACCATGTGATAAAATATTTATTAGGGTTATTCCACTGGGCCTTCTCCAGTTTTCCTGATCTATATCTGGCCACGTTGGACTCAAATGGTTCTGGAGGAGAAAGTGAGGCTGGTGACTTTGCACAGCCCTCCCTCACTTAAATCCAATTCACTTGAAAATTATGACATCATCATCCTTGATCCTTGAATAACCACAAAGGTTATTCCAAAAAGAAAAAACAGTTGGGATCATATTTCATTTATCCGCAAAACTTACCTTTGGTAGTTATCCAAAGGAATTTTTTTTTTAAAGTCAGTCAACAAGCATTTAAGGGCTTACTAAATTAGAGGGTAAGGGACTTGACCAAGGTCACATAGCTACTAAGTGGGTGAGCTGGATCATACCCTCTAATGGTAAGTTCCTCAGACTCTCAAATCCCTTCCACCACAGGCACTCACCCTAACACCAACCCTTTCCCCATCCTCCAGTCCCCGTCTGACACTGTTGATCACCCTCTCCTCCTTGATACCCTCTTTTCTTTTGGTTTTCAGGCCACCACTCTCTCCTGGTTCTCCTCCTACTTCTCTGACCATTGCTTCTCAGTCTCCTTTTCTGGATCCTCCTCCAGACCATGCCTTCTAATTGTAGGGTTCTATGCTGGGTCCTCTTCTCTTCTCCCTCTTTACTACTTGGTGAGCTCATCAGCTCCCATGGATTTAATTCCCAACTTTACACCGATGATTCTCAAATCTATCTATCCTGCCCCAATCTCCCTGCTGACCTCCAGCCTTGCCTCTCCAGCTGCCTTTCAAAAATCTCAAACTGGATGTCCAATGTATATCTTAAACTTAACATGTCCAAAAGTGAACTCATCTCTCCCCCTAAATTCCCATCTCTCCTAACTTCTGTATTACTATTGAGGACACCAGCATCCTCCCAGCCCCCCAGGCTCTCCATCTAAGTGTCATCCTGAACTCCTCACTATCTCTCACACCCCCATATTCAATCTGTTGCCAAGGCCTGTCAACTTCACCCTCAAAACATCTCTCAAATGCGCTCTCTTCTCTGATACTGCTACCACCCTGGTGTGGGCCCGCAGCTCCTCACACCTGGAAGTTACTGAAATAGTCTGCTGGTGGGTCTGCCAGCCTCAAGTCTCTCCTGCTCCAATCTACCCAGCCACCAAAGTGATTTCCCTACAGTACAGGTCTTAGCTGTGTCACCTTCACTCAATAAACTCCAGCAGCTCCCTATCACCTCCAGGATCAAATACAAAAATCCTCTGGTTGGTGTTCAAAGCCTTCATAATCGAGGCCCTGCCATGCTCCCACCCCAACCTTTCCAGATACACATCAGGACGACTGGAGATGGCCCCAGTTTGATTTTTTTTTTGGACTAGGTTAAAGAGGTCATTCTTTGCCTCATTTTTTTTTTGCCTAGTCTTAGTCACTAAATGGGTGTTGCCTCAGTCAAACTGGGACCTGCCAAAGACCTTAGCTCTAAAAAGGCCATGGTCTCCCACTGCATCTGAGGCCATCTCCAGTCATCCTGATTTATATCTGGCCACTGGACACAGATGGCTCCTGAGGAGAAAGTGAAGCTGATGACTTTGCAAAGTCCTCCCTCACTTAAATCCATTTCACTTGCATGTCATGGCACCACCTCCCTGATGTCATGGTCCTCTTGGAGAACAAAGGACAAACAACCCACCTTTCCAGGCTTCTAACACTTTACTTCCTGCAATGGACTGTTCAGTCTAGTGACACTGGCCTCCTGGCTGTTCTATTAACAAGACATTCATCTGCTGGCTAAGGGCATTTTCTCTAGCTGTCCCCCATGCCTCAAAAGTTCTCTCCTCCTCATCTCTGACTTCCCTGGCTTCCTTCAAGTCCCAACTAAAATCCCACCTTCCAGAGAAAGCCCTTCCCAATCTCTCTTAATTCTGGTGCCTTCTGTCTGCTAATTATTTCTTATTTACATCTTGTTTATACATATCTGTTTGCTTACTATCTTCCCCATGAGATTGTGAGTTCAAGGGAAGAGACTGCTTTTTGCCTCTTTTTGTACCCCCAGTGTTTATCACAGTGCCTGACACACAGTGGGCACTTAATAAAGGTTTTTTGACTATGTTGGGTACTATGCTAAGTGCTAGGGATACACAAAAGAAAAAGACAAAAACAAAAAACAGAAAAACCCCAACAAACCAGGGCTCCTGACCTCAAAGACTATATATTCCACTGGAAAGATGCAAGTATCTGGGGAAGGGAAAAGGCCTCCTGCAAAAGGAAGGATTTTGCTATTTGATTTGGCTATGTGGAGTAAAGGGGAGTGAGATGTTGAGTTTGACACTAAGATTGTAAGCCTGGGTGACTGGGAAGATGGAGGTGGCCTCAAGGGCGAAGGTTTTGAGAGGGGAAGATGACCAGGAGTTTTGTTTTGAACATGTTGAGTTTGAGATGCCTATGGTATGGGGCAGCTAAGTGGCATGTAGATAGAGCACCAGCCCTGGAGTCAGGAGGACCTGAGTTCAAATCCAGCCTCAGACACTTGACCCTAGCTGTGTGACCCTGGGCAAGTCACTGAACCCCAACTACCTCGCCAAAAAAAGGAAAAAGGAAAAAAAAAGAGATGCCTATGGGACATCAAGTGCTAGATGTCTAAAAGCAGCTGATCAAGAGGAACTAAATTTCAGGAGAGAAAAGAATAACTATCTCAATCTGGGAATCATCTGTATAGAGATAATACTTGAATACTTGAACCCATGGATTGGTGAGAAGATCAAGTGAGAAATTATAGAGTGAAAAAGAAGAGGACCTGGGACACAGCCTTGGACCAAGGACACCCATGCTTAGTGAGCTTGACATAGAAGAAGAACAAAGAGCCTAAGGAGCAGTCATATGGAGCCTGAGGAGTAGTCAATTAACTTGGAATGGGGGGATGGGTTGAAGAGCAGGTTAGGGCAGTGCAAAGGTCCGGGCAACTGGGGTGGGGAAGCAGGAGACAGGTCAACTGTCCAAGAAGTGAGCTCTACTCCAGAGAATCTATCCTGTGGAGAGGAACTGGAATGAAGATCAGGGAGAGAAGGAGGCCAAGTGTAGGGCCCAAGATAGGTTCCAGCAGAGGGGCATCATGAGAAGGTTGACCTGTGAACAGTTTTGCCATGACTTAGTTACAGTAAGGGGACTGCAGTTGCCTCATGATGAAGGATAGGAGAAATGATTTATTTCTCTCTCATATTAATAACAAATTATTGAGATCAAGATTTTTTTTCTATTTCCTCACTCAGAAATAAAGACTTGTAGGTTAATACAGCCAATATATGAAGAATATCACTGACCTTGCTGGAAAATGTTACCCTACCTACCCCATCTCACCTAGGTGGAATTGTTACCCTACCCAACCAGAACCTTACAAAGAGAATCTAATCTAGGTGAATCCCAGACCATTGTGTTCTACTCAGGCTTAGGGGGTGAGAGGGTGGGGGTAAAGATCCTTTGTCTAGATTGCCTGAGGCTGAAGGTGGTCTGAGAGTAAGAGTGACATAATTAAAGTCACCTTCCACCAGCCTCTCATTAGAATAGGTCCACCCAATTATAATATTCATTCTCTCATTAATTGTTAACCAATTTATTGCCACCTGTTGGGAATACCCATTCTTATAAAGGTATATAAGCACCAAGAGGCCTCCAGGAGGGGGTCTTTGGTTTATGAGAGAAGACCATAATTAATAAAATGATTAATTACCCAGAAATTATGTCTCTTGAACTTTTTATACATCACAGTTAAAAAGCACATTCTCCCCCTCACTCTCCCCACCAATTATTGGTACTCAAAAACTAAGCCCTAATTTTCCCACATCAGTTATATCTCTGGATACAGGTGATAGGAGTGGAGACAGAGGTGTAAAAGCAGAAAAAAGAGGCCATCTGTCACACTGGAAGGTCTGAACCTGACATTCAGAAAAACCAATACAGTTTATATGTGAACTGAATCATAATTGGATGATATCTCAGAACTTCTCAGGATAAATGGCTATGGTAGGAGAGCACATAAACTGAAACGCTTTCCCAATTCATTTCTATTGGACACACTGAAGTTTAAGAAAAGATACCTATTACTTGGCTTTGGAATTGGAACTCATTACTCCTGGTCTCTGATTTGAAGACTCATACACAGGACTTAGAGATGGAAAGGACCTTAGACCATCTGACCTGACGAGTGCTTAGTGGTGATCCCTTGCCTAGTGAAGATGGAGGCTGAAGCTCGCTTCGGTGAGAAAACACATTCAGAACTGGGGTTTAGTGGATAGCAGTCTAGCACAGAGGTCCTCCCAGCCCTAACCGCTGAAAGTTTCCCAGCAAAGTTTCCTGCCTTCAGGTGCCTCTGATTCTGTTGTACCTGCATCTACATCAGTCCCTTTCCTGTCCCTTATGTTCTGGTGCTCAGGCTTTTCCTTCCGTGCTCTTTGGAAGTCAAAGTTGTTGATGATCAAGCAGTATCCCCGAGGCTTGCTGCTCATTTTGTAAGCTTTGTCCTGGTCCTGAAAAAATGAAGACACAAAACAAACTTCTCACTCTGTGAGCCCCTGCCCAAATAGTTCATACAGAACTTCATTTGTAAAACGAAGAGGCTGAACCAAATGACCCCCAAAGTCCTTTCTCCCTCCAATATGCCTTTTCTTTTTTTCTCACCAACACTGATACACATCCCACAGTCCTCCCCAAGAAAGGGATACTTCTCCAAAGCTCCTGGCGCCATTCCCCTCACTTTTTCTGTTTTCTCTCCATCATTGCTATCTTTTGCATCTAACAATAATTCCTTATGTGCACTGAGCACTGGACAGGTCAGGGCATCTTTAGCAACATATTAAATGTAAATATTATGCATATATGTATACATGTATGCATCTGGGGCTTTTTAGAGGTGTGTGAGCTGGGGAGGTTGGTCCAGACCTACAATTTTATCATTGTGGGGATACTTCCTTCACTGAATAAAATCAGTAACGCATCTATAAGCTATAATCTTAGATAGAGACAAGACTTGAGGTGAGATTTTCCTAATTCTAAAGCCAGTTGTCTATACGCCACGCCACACTATTTCTCATCCATGATGTCAATCTGAAAAACAAGCATGGGAGGTGGGTAGAAGAACTTGGTTTTTTTTAAGATGAGGAAACTGAGACCACTGACCTCTGTCTACAGTGTACTTGCTTGCCAAAAAGTTTTATATAGCTAGAATCCATCTCCTTTGGCTATAAGTCAATAGCTACTGACAATGTGTTCTACTTCTCAGGGGTGTGTGATGGAGCCCAGCTGAACCAATTGTTCAATTTTCAGTGTGGGCCTTTCCACCTTGGAAATTGGGGAATGTTACACATCAGGTCTTGACTTCCTGTTTTGTTGTTTGACTAGCCTTTTAAAAGTGATGGACAAAGTGTGAATAATGTGGATTAAACTTTAAAAGCATGCCAAGTGCACATTTTTTTCCCTCAGAGAGCCAGTGTTAAACACGTACCCTACACCCCTGCCTACAACACAGGGGCTTTCTAGAGACATCTCATGTTGGCCAAAATTTTCTCAGGCAGGATGGCCCTGTGGCATGGAGCTCAGATCCTGTTCTGTCAAATGCTAGGGCTGTGAGAGGTGGCCCTTTTGCAAGAGGGTGTCTTGCATGCTGACTTCAGGACTCTGGGTGCCCAAAAGGGACAGCTGGGATTTAATTTGTTTGTAAAAGGAAATGATTACTCCTACTTACTAAGAGGATGAAGGGACTAGTTGGCTTATCAAGAATTCTGGATCCTTCCACAATGAGCAACAGCAGCGGAATTTGGGGGCCCTCGAAGGATCTTATTACAGCCAGGTACCATGGGGAAAGGTGGGAAGCTTTGCTTTAGGGCCCTACCACTACTCCCTGATAGGGGCAACTAGGTGGTACAGTGCACTGAGCCTCAGGGAAACCCTGAGTTCAAATCCAGCCTCAGACACTTCCTAGCTGTGAGACTCTGGGCAAGTCACTGATCCTGTTTGCCTCAGTTTCTTCACATGTAAAATGAGCTAGAGAAAGAAATGGCAAACTACTCCAGTATCTTTGTCAAGGAAACCCCAAATGGGGTCACAAAGAATCAGACATAAATGAAATGACTGGACAACAATTACTTATCCCTGATAACTCATCTTAAATACTTCCTCACTATGGGCAGGAAGAGAAGGTCTGGGGTGCTTCCTCTGTCTATCCAATATCTCTGCCTTCAGTCTCAATATACAGAAGACCTTTTCATGTTTCTCTCTCTACTCATCTAACAACTATAAAAATGGAAAACAATAATGAATATAATATGGAGGAGAATGTGGAAGGATGAGACAGGAAGTTGGGCTGTAAATATACCTTTTCTCCTGGAAAATCTCCAGATGTTGCCTGAAGATCATTCATCATTTCTTCAACTAAAAGTAAGCAAGATAGGACTAGAATGAGATGGGCCTAAGAGGGAGCAAAGAAAAATGCAATATTCCAGATACATCTGGGATGCTTTTCACACTGACAGTTCAGTTTACAAAAGGGATTTCTTAGGCTGGATCTTATCTTAGGCCAAGAACTCACTTCTGCCATTTGCAGGTGCATATTGACCCTAGAAAGTGACCATCTTTCAGGGTTGATACTTGAAATAATAACAATTTTTTAAAAAAAAAATTAGATACTGTCTTTTTCTCATCCAAGTTACTAAAGGAAATTCAGTCTTATTGGTGAGAAGGGTTTTAATGACTCCTCCAAGGAGGGCTAAATATCTGGGTTGTTGGTTTGGGGGGGAAAAAAAGGCAACTAAAGAAAAAACCTTTGCTTTCAAATTCTTTGAAATAACACCACCAATGTCTCTTTAATATGCACTCGTTTTGATTGGGGCAGCAGATATGAATGCTTATAGATTAAGTCAAAGGACCTTTAACCTGAGCTGAGTTCTCAGCGAAAGTGACTTAACAAGGAACTTTCTAAAAATGACACTGAGTGAATGATTTTATGAGTAACCATCAATGCCTAAATTTAAAATGAGATTTTACTCATCTTTGGGTACCCTGCAGTGCATGGAACATAGTAGCAGCTCAATAAATGTCTGTCAGGTTTAACTGAATTGTATTAGGTTAAAATACAAAAACCTGGACTGACAGAACAGGAGGTGAGCAAACGTCCTCTCAGATCAAATAGAAAGTCTCCAACCTCCCTTTTTGTTCTTAAATGCCATACCCCTTCACACACTCTTTGCTCCAGCAAAACTAGCCTTGTTGCTATTCTTTACACCCAACACAGGATCTCCCACCTCGAACCTTTGTACTGGCTGTCCTAGGTTGCTCCCCTTCTCATCTCTGACTTGTAGAATTCCTTATTTTCTTCAAAACTCAGCTTAAGCACCAGTGCCTGCCTGATGCCTTTCCTGATTCCCCAATCTAATCTGCATATGCCCTCTCAAATTTCTTTGTATCTATTCTGCATATATTTTGTGTATATTTACTTATGCATATGTTATCCTCCCCAATTCCCCCAATAAGCTTCTTGGAGGCATGTACTGTTTCATTTTTGCCTTTGTAACTCTAGTTCATAGCATATGTATTAGGCATGTAACCTTGGCTTTTGTGAAGGGCGTGATGATCTACTGCCCGGGGACTCTGTGGGGTGTCCCTTTACTTGGGAGCTGTAGGCTGCCTAGGGGGAAGCTCCCCATATCGATCAACACTCCCTACTCCCTTCTATCCACCCCATAACAGCTTCATCTCTCCAGTGCTCCTAGTCTAAGTTGTTCAATTATTAACAAGTTGCCCTCATATTAAACATATTGGTTGGTTCTTGAAGAGGACCCCAATAACATCACTAGGTTAGAGTCAAGTTACAGCATGTTCAGCTGTGGCTGATGAGACTGATATGAGCTCGGAACGCTCTACCACAGGTCGGGCACAAATAGTCCATGTGAACATTTGTGGTGGAAGTAGACCTGTACCCTGCCATCAGAAATTACTTTGCATATATATTGTATTTGTACAAGTTGTTTCTTCATAACAGACTACAAGTTACTTGAGGGCAGGAGCTGTTTCATTTGATCATTGTATTCCCAATACTTAGCAGAATAGTTGGCATAAAAATGCTGGTTGTATTGAATTGAACAGCAGAAAGGAGAAGGGAAAATAGATAAAAGCAAGTAAAATACATATATCCCCCAAACTTATCTTTATGTATTACCATCCTGGATTTCCATTGGAACTCTTTCTGTGCTTCTTTCCACTAGATTTAAAAAAAAAAAACACCAACATTTGGTTAGAGGCCCTTGTGACAATAATGATGTCAAATCATGAGCAAATGTTGACAAATAAGAAACAAGTTTTTCCACCTCTGTTTGATTCATATTTTCTTATTTTCTCCAGCAGGTTCTTGTCAATGACATCACAAACTGCCTTCAGGTCATCCAGGTTTCCTTCTCCTAGAATTCCCCGTTTCTCCATCTCAATGAAAATATCGATCAAGGTCTGGTGGAAAGGAGAGGACAAGTAGGAAAACAGTAGTTGAAAAGATTGGACTGTGAGCTACATTGTTCTTCAGGTATTAACATTTTCGCTTCCTTCCACATTCTCAGAATCAAGAAGACTTTATACTCTCCCCTCATTTGGATTGGCCAAAGATCCTTTGTCATAAAAGGCTTTTTAAGAGTCCTTAGACAACCTGCCCCGTATTTTCTGGGCATGTTCTGGCCTGTAAAGATAATGACAGATGGAGAGGGCTCATCTCAGACTCCATGTAGTCCTTAGCATTTCTATCATGGGTCAGCTTAGAGATTTCAGTTCTATAGGATAAGTAAAGTCCAGGGCTGAGACACAGATCTAAAAATTATGGCATCAGACCTGGATATAATCATGACATCGCTGACTCTGTCCCTCAAGTCCTCTGCCAACTCTCCAAACCTACGGCTCATCCTAGTATCTGAGAAAGCTGGAGGCCAGAAGAAAGGCAATATGGCATGTGTGGTTACAGTGCTGGATGTATAGCTGGGAAAAGCTGGGTTCAAGTGCCCTTATCTGACAGCAGCTACGTAACCACAGACCAGCCACTTAAACTCACTAAGCATCTCCTGAACTGTAAAATGAACTAGTTGGACTAGATCAGGGATGGGGAGCCTGCCACCTCGAGGCCACAGGTGGCCCTCTAGGGCTGATTCAGTCAAAGGGCCACGCCTAGAGGGCCATGTGTGGCCTTGAGATGGCAGGTTCCCCAACCTTAGACTAGATGATCTTTTATGGTCTTTCCTGCTCTAAATCTATGATCTTATAACCACAGAGAACTGAGAAATAGTCAAGGCAGATCAACTGTTCCAGCCCTGCTGAGACACCCTTTTTTGTCATATCCAAACATGGATCCCATTTTTTGCTAGAGATAACTTTTTTGTTCTCCTTACCACAACCAAGAGCCTACTGTACTGTAAAGGTCCCATAAACCAATACACTAATCTCAACCAAGTCTGCCTGAGAGTTCGATGGTGGCAGGCAGTTACCTATACCTGAAAAGTCTTCTGTCCCTTCTCTTCAATCCTCTCTACCCCAACCCATTCTCAGAAAGAACTCTGGTTCACAAAGCACAGCAATGCCAGCTCTTACCATATTATCTTCTAGTTTGCACTTGGGAATCTTGCGACTCAACATAAATTTAATAGATTTCAATTCAAATTTTGCCACATTTTCTGAAAGGTCAAAAAGCAGGACCCTGGAGTGGGAAATGAAGAAACTTTTAAAAATGTTTCCTTGAGGCATTTTATAAGTTCCTACTCATTTTTTTTTCTTTTTTGAATCTGGATTTAACAAAGACCAAATAAAATGGGCATTTCCATATACATAGAACAGAAAAAAGGATTGTACAGAATATTGTGGCTCTCTTTTACAAACAGCTTGCTATCCTTTTAAGAATCATTAAGTTCAACCTGTAGCTATCAACATTGTCCTGTTTGTCTATGCTTCTTGCTATAGTTCCTTCTGTTTTCTCTTCTTCCTTTTAAAAAATGATTCCTCAATGTCTCAATGACTTTTCTTCCCCACCTCTTTTTGTGTATCCCCAACCATCCCTCTCACCTTCCTCCCACCATTGGAGGGGAAAAAAGAAGGAAAAGAAAAACAAATTCCTCATAATAAATATGCAAAATCACACAAAATAAATCCCCACAACATCTGTGTCTTGAAAAGGTCTTATGTTGCATCATGGCATGGCTATAGGCATTTCATGGAACTATACAGTCAGACCAAAGGGCAGCATGTTTTAATAGAAAGAGCAGATTGGGGAACCTGAATTTAAATCCTAGCTCTCCTACTTCCTCCCTCTGAAAGCTTGTATGGGCCATTTAAGCTTTCTGGGACTTAGTTTCCAAATCTGTAAAATGAGGAAGTCTCCTCCAGTTCCAATCTTAAGATTCTGTGACTGGGCAACACTTTAACGCTAAATTGGGAGATTCATTCATGCATTCACTTATTTATTTATTTACTCATTCATTTATTTGCTCATTTGTTCATGCATTCATTCTCTTATTCATTCATTCATTTCAAAGATGCCTAAACTGTAGGCACCCATGGAATCCTGGTGGATGTTTCTGCTTTATACACCCTGATCATGCAATTCCTATTAGCCAAAAAAGCATCATGAGAGGCCATAACTCTCTGATTCTTACAGAAGTGGTATGGTGTAATGAGTTAAGTGTTGAACATAAGGGTGAAGGCCTGGGTTCGAATCCTACCACTGATACTGTTTGACCACGTGTAAGTCATTTAACTTCTCTGTACCTCACTTTCCTCATCCATAAAATGATGGCACAAGTAGTTTCCTTACAAGCTTGTTGTAAGGCTCAATCGTAAGCTCTTCGAGGGCAGGGACCGTCTTTTTCCTCTTTTTATATCCCCGGCTTAACATAGTGGCTGACACATAGTAGATGCTTAATAAATGCTGACTTAGGGGCAGCTAGGTGGCGCAGAGGACAGAGCACCGGCCCTGAAGTCAGGAGTACCTGAGTTTAAATCCGGCCTCAGACCAAACACTTGACACTTACTAGCTGTGTGACCCTGGGCAAGTCACTTAACCCCAATTGCCCCCAAAAAATAAATAAATAAATAAATAAACAAATAGATAAATAAATAAATGCTGAGTGACTGACTGGATGTAAAGTACTTTATAATTGTCAGAGCACTACATGATCTAGAATGTGAGCTCTTCCCATCAGGTGAGCTCCCTGAAGGAAGGAGCATCATGTTTTTGCCTTTCTTTGTATCCTAGTGGTTAACACAGGGTCTGGCACATAACATATGTTTGTTGAATGACAAAAAATGTCAGTGATGAGTATGGTGATGTATTGACTATTCCTCCCTGAAAGTCTTCCTCCAAAGCCTCCTACACATATGAATGTGACCATGGAACCTTTTTTTTTTAAGGTGTGCAGCCTATTTTATTTTACTTTTTCTCAATTAACATTCTTCCCTTCTCACTTACCCCATCACTGGGGGAAAAAAAACCAACAACAAAGAAAACTGAAAAACATACCCCTTACAGCAAATGTGGATTGTCAAGCAAAACAATTCCCATATTGGCCATATCCTGACCTTGCCATCTTAAAGACCATGAAAAACTCTGATGGGCCCTAGAAAGCTGGAAAAGTTCCAAGTTCAGGTTAAGTATGGGACCAGCAATGGACTGTCATTTGAGGACCAGCCCAGCTAAGTTTCAGGATGCTCTTTACCAAGCACTAAGAAAACTCTCTCCCCTCAGGTGTAGCTGAGGTTACCGTCTTCCTTGGTAGAAGTACCCACAAAGATAAAAAATTACCTACTTTTTGAAGAAGTAGTTACAAATCAGGAGCAAGCCAGCTCCCAGATGTTGGGGATTATTTCATATTTTCTGTATGTGTGTCCCCATTGTCTAGCACAATGACTGATTCATCATAGGAGCTTAATAAATGCTTGTTGCCCAAATGATTGATTACTACCACCATATGTTCACAGTTTGATTTGTCTTCACATTTTGGAAATTAAGAAGACTGAAGCATATATTTGTGAAGCCTGCAAAATGCTACACGATGTCTTATATCGGCGGGTTGTTAGGCCTTAGTCACAATGCATCCAATCTGGGGAGCCAAGCTTTCAGGAGGGCTAAGATAACAGACAGAAGATGGAACCCAACAGTTTAATGAAGTCTTGTTGGATTAGATTGCATTGGACCCCTCATCTAATTCTCTAAATTCAGAGGTTCCTGTTTCTCGATCAGGCTTAACTAATAAACTCCCTGTGCTTGGAATTATCTTTATCCATAAGTACCTACAATCTGATTTTTGAATTTATTTAATGTTTAAGCAAGCCAAATTCTACTGATATTCAACTCCAAATTAGGCTGGCTATTCATAAGAGAATGAAACATTATTAATTAATTACTTAACACATGCCAGCTGTTGTGCTAAAAAGTCATGAAAATTTAAAAAATATACTACAGATTGAGATAGGCAAACAGAGCTGGCTAAAGGCAAAATAGCGACCTGGGAAATTAACTTCTTCAATGCCTTTAGTTTCCCCCTTCTGATGCTCCTTGTCTCTTTTTTGTTTTCTTTCAATCATTGGCTTGAGGGCTTGAGAGCCTTTGCCACCTCTCTGCTCTTCCCTATCATCAAGACCTGCTCTTAGTAAATTATTTGATATGAATTGTGAAAAAACCACACTGTAACTGACAAATACTGTTCAAGGTATGAAACTTACCACAAAACGCCAACTTTGAATGAAAAAATAACCGCTTCAGAGAAGAATTTTTAAATCATACCAAGAAGACTGCTATTGTACTATTAAGAAGGCAGGGAAGTGTATTATTTCACATTTTCTTAACTGCTCTCTCATCATCACTGCCATAACTATTATAGTATTATGAATAATGTAGCACCCAGAGGCCATGAGGAAGTGTGCAGGGCCATTTGTCTTTAAATTAAATCATTCCAGACTGATGTGCCTTTTTGAGTTCTTATGTATAACTTTTATCTTTTTCTGTTTCACCTCTAGTTGTCAGGATGTATAGGCTGTTTCATTTTCACTCTGACTCATTCCCCCTTCCACTATATCCAGTCAGTTGCCTAGACTCATCATTTCTCCCTCTTCTACATTTCTCCCATCAGTCCCTCTTCTTCACACCAAAAACATCTTCATTCAGTCCCTGTTCTCTTCTCACCTAGATCATTTCAATAGCCTTGAAAACGAATGTGTTTTATTCTCTTCTCTACCCCTACCCCAGTACAATATAAACTCCTTAAAGACAATGACTACTTCATTTTTGTCTTGGTATCCACCCCGAAAAGCTTCATACAGTGGTTGGCACATAGAAGGCACTTGTAAAATGCTTGTTAATTGATGTTAATTGAGTCTTGTTATTGTCTTAAGAAACCCACTCAACAGGGTGGGAGAGAGTGCCTGTGACAGCCGGCACGGCCAACCCCAGGCATACTTTGCCGCTGACCTCAGATGTCCCATGTCGGGCCCGGGATAGGCGACTCATCCTGGGATAAAGGAATGTAATCTGCCCTACCCTGGTGGGAAAGTCCTTGAAAGAGGGCTGTGGTGGCTAGGCAACCCCGGGGAATGGCAGCCTCGTGCCTAGTAAAGAAGAGGAATGATTGGGCCGGGAAGCATAATCGTCTGGAGGGCTGGGAATCTCACTCCCTGGGATGTCAGCCTCTGGGCAGAGCCTTGGTCACCCTATCTGAGTCCTTATTCTGTTACTACTTTAGCCGGGACTTGGAAATCAGAAAATTCCCAATACTCATCTACACCAGCCCCTGAGACAAGTGAGATTGCTCTGATTTGAAAAGACAGCCGATTTTCTTCACTCATCTAGAGTGAAAAGGGAGGAGAGGCCCTTGAGGAAAATGAAATGTGAAGGAAGAGAGCAGGGAGGAAAGCACATAGGCAGACGATCAGGAGCCATTTCAAGCGTGGTTCCTCAGACAGGAAGCGGCCAGCATGGCTGGCTTTTGAGGCACAGATAAGCTCCACCTATGCAGCTGCCATTTTCAGACTGGCTGTTTGAATTGTCATGACTTTGTCTCAGCTGAGGGCTCTTGAGCAAAATTAAAATCTTATTGATCTTCTATGCATAAGCTCCCCAAAATCAGGGTACAGAAATGAGGGGACTGACTTCATTTGTTCCCCACCCACCCACCCAAGGCAACATGATATAGTGACAAGAGCGTAGGTTTTATAATTATAGGGCATGGGTTCAAATCTTGATTCTGCTGCTTATTACCTGTATGACCTTGGGAAAGTCATTTACTATCACTAGGCCTCAATTTCCTTACCTATAAAGTGAAAGCATTAGGCTAGATGATATCTCAATTATAAATCTATGATACATTTATCTCTCAGAGCAAGGCTGATAGGGAAGTAAAATTTTTGGAAAAATTTAGAGTTAATAGCGAAAATATAGTAACTATGTTTAGTATTGTTTTTATGTACTAATGTTGATAGGATTTGTACCAGTGATGTAGATTCCTTTCTGAAAATATTAATAATATACTAGAGCAGGGGTGGGGAACATGAGGCCATGAGGCCTAATCCCTAATCTGTAAGGGGATTTGTTCTCTGATGTTTGGATTCACACTTGAGGACCCAGAGGACCCCCTAGAGGGCCTCAAGGCCACAGGTCCCCACCCCTGTTAGAGTATGGTAACCAATATGAGGCAGCAGGGTGGAGTAGACAGAGTCAAAGTCAAGAAGACTGGCTTCAAGTCCTTTGGGCAACCCATTGAACCTCTCAGTGACCTTCTAGGTCCTTGGGTGTGGCTTTTTGACTGAGTCCAAAGGCTAAAGAACAAATCCTTTTATTATGGGGATTTGTTCTGTGAAGTTTGGATGTAGTCAAAGGGCTGCACTTGAAGACCTAGAGGGACACATGTGGCTTTGAGGCTGCAGGTTCCCCACCTCTGCTCTAAGATAAGAAATTTTAGAGTAGGCACATAATCTTATTCAGGACATGGAATTCCCCCACCGAAAGTCTCCTACACTAACAAAATCAGAAGTCCAGTCCTGTCCTATCCCATGGCAGCTGATAATCCAAATATAATAATTCTATAACTTTGAATAAAATGGATTTAATTCCCCTGTTAAAAGCTATAGAAACATGCCTAAAGCAGATATATAAAGCCTAACAGGGAATTAAAACATGGGAATGGGCTTAAATTAACCATGCTTTGGCTATAGCCAAAAAATTAAAATTTGTGACCATGGCATCTAGAGGAGACTGAATTCAAATTAAAAAGATTAAAAGAGATAAAGAAGGGAACAATATATCATCCTTGAAGTGGCATTGACATTGAAAGAATATCAGTTTTAAATATCTGTCTGCCTAATGGAACAGAGAATAAATTGATAAAAGAAAAATTAGCTGAGTAGTAGATAAAGCTTTGGACTTGAGTCAGAAAGACTTGAATTCAAACACTGCCTCAGGTACTTACTAGAATGTGTGACCCTAGGCAAGTCACTTAACTTCACTTTCTTTAGCTATTAAAAAAAGGGATAATAATAACACCTATCTCACTGGGTCATTGTGAAGGTCAAATGGTATATAAAACACTTTGAAAATTTTATAACAAGAACTATAAAAATTTTAGCTACTATAGGTACAAAAAAATAACTAGACAGAAAAACTAAGGGAAATATTTCAATACCCCACTAATGGAATATGATAAATCAAACAAATATATAAGCATGAAAGAATTTTAAGATGTGAGGAGTGCTGAAGAAATTGGATTGTATAGCTATGTGGTAAAAACTAAATGAGAAGTGTAGGAAATATTTTTATTCAAGTATAGATGCATTTATCAGTCAATCAATAAACATTTATTAAGTATCTATTATGACAGGTACCATGCACAGTTTTATGAAAAATTATTGCACTCTATCTATAAGGAGCATATATAAAAGATATATAAACAGAAATTTAAAATATTACATTTGCAAACCTAAATGCAAAAAAAAAGTAATTAACAAAGGAAAGAAAAAAATTGATTTGATTAATTATGCTTGGGATAAATTCAAATTATAGAAACTATAATGAGAGAGAAAGAGAGAGAGAGAATATTCAACACCAAGTAATCATTGGTCTGATCAAACAAAAACAAAAAACAAATCCCAAAAGCAATTTAAATAAAACATATCCCAATTAATGGGTTGCAGGTAAAGCAACATATACAAATTAATTGCAATAACAACACCAGTGGGCAACTGTAGAATTAAGTAAAGTGTAAAATTCACAAGAAAATTAAAAGGATAAGAACATTAAAGAGAAATAAAAAATGGAGAGAACTGGGGATTCAAAAATTCAGATATCGAATTCTACTATAAATCACTAATTGTCAAAACTACTTGAAAATGGATTTTTTAAAATGAGGGGGAAAAGTGCTGCATAATTTCAAGATTACAAAACTCTAGAATAGAACCCATTATTTGAGAAAAGAAATTAGGAAAACTGGATAGCAAAACATGAGGAAAATTGACATTCTATCCATGTAGAACAGTAAAATTCAAATGGTTTAATAATCCAAATATAAAAAATTAAATTAGAAACTAATGGAAGGAATATGTATTGTAATTGTGAAAATGTGTAAGTTTTCTAGGCATTTGACAGAAAGCAATGCAAGAGAAAAAACAGATGATTTTTATTAAAAATAACTTCTGCACAGCAAAAAGCAATATATCTAGAATAAAAAGAAAAAGCAGAGCTAGAGAAACTTTGTAATGAAATTTTCTGATAAAAATCTGACATCCAAAATATGAATGATGATGATGATGATGATGATGATGTCTGGCCATAAATTTGTATACCATTTTAAAGTTTGCTAAGCATTTCTCTCATGTGATCCTTTCTGTGCTTTACCCCAAAGTGCCTTTCGCATAACTATTCTACAAAGAAATCCTCAAATCAAGAAAACAAATCATTTGTCACCCCTGGTACCAGTCAATGTAATTGTAATTGTAATCTCTAGGAGAAAAATACCTGGCCTCTATCTATCTGTCCGATGTAATTTGCAAATTCAAACCTACCGAGAACAAATACCACAACCAAATATACTTCGGTGTAAATTTATCAATGCCTCACTTCTCCCAGGGGTATTTGGATTTCAAGAGTTATATTTCTAATTGTGAAATGAAAAGTTTTGGGATTCGATCAACATAATCAAACCAATCACAATTCCAGAGGACCCATAATGAAACATACTACCCTACCTCCAGAGAAGAGAGCTGATGGACTCAGAAGTCTTTTTTTTTTTAACATGGATAATGTGGGAATTTGTTTTGCTTAACTATATATATGTAACAGGTTTTGTTTTTTCCTACTTTCTCAATGGATGGGTGAAGGGAAGGTAAGAGGTAGAAAATTCAGAACTGAAAGTAAAATAAAATTGAATTCAAAAAATAAAGAAAGGCTTTGCTTCCCTTAAAGGAATTTTAGGCATCTGAGAACAGGTGAGAAGCATCCTTTCCTTCAGGGGCTAGGGAGGTGGGAGTGGGAGCTTTTCCCATGCCCTTGAGATCATCACATCATTATTAGTAATGTTTATATAGCACATTAATGTTTACAAAGGTTTTACATATATTGATGTCATTTAAAGTGGCCATCTATTTAACCTATGTACAAAGTTAAACCTGCCTACAAGAAAATTGCATCCAAATAACACTCATTTCAAAAATCATAGTATTAAAGTGCCACCTACCTATAGGAAGAAATCTGGGCTGTGGTTTGGATTTGACACTCCACCTCCTGTTGGTTAGTGTTCAGGAGCTTTAGGAGATCCATTCGGTTATCGCGGTACAACAGTTCCTTCAAGAAGAACAGATTGTCCTCCTCCAACAAACCCTTTTCCTCCAGTATTTTGAACAACCCCACGGCATCCTTGATAAATTCCTGCTTCTTCAATGGGATATGATCCAAGCAGAGGAATTTCAGACCAACAAGATCTCGACTGTCTATTTCCTCTGCAACGTTGTACAGAACTGTGTGGAAGTCCATGCTTATCAGAAAATTAGAAAGGTACACTTCTAACCTGGGAAAAGAAACCTTTATTTTAGTTGAAGCTGATAAACTCTTAGCTGCATACAGCCTACAGTCTCTTTCTTGTTCAGAGAAGGTATTCCCCACATTCAACGTCTGTACTTTCTTAAACAGAATGAACTTAAAGTTACTCTTCCCAACTAGACTATAACAGCCATGAGGATCAGTACCATCTTTGAATATCCCAAAGCACTTACCACATAGTTATTGCTTGATAAATGTTAGGCAAATGAATGGAATGAATACTGAACTAGGTATTCCCAAATCATTCTAATGCACGTTCATCTTCTTCTTCTCTGTTTTCCTATAGCACCTCTTTTTGACTTAAAGTCAGAAGGGACTTTACATGATTACTTGACTTTTCCATCTTTTCCCCTCAACTAGACTTTAAATACCTAGGAGGCAAGGATCATGTCTTTTAAAAGTTAGTCATTTTAATGGGGCAAATCATAGCAAGGCAAAATAAGCACTCGTGTTCAGAAGACCTGGGTTCAAATCCACTTACTAGCAGTGTGATCTTGAGCAGACCACCTTGCAAGACCTCTGAGCCCAGATTTCCTCATGTATGAAATGGGGACAAGAATATTTCACAGCATCGATGAGAGTATCAAACAATATATTGTATGTAAAGTGCTTTGAAAACCTTAAAGTGCAATGCAAATGTGAGTTGTTATTAGTAGAAATATAATGTCCAGAATGCCTGCAATATTATGTCCGTAATTGCAAGTTAGAAAAGAGCACTGAGGGGGGCAGCTAGGTGGCGCAGTGGATACAGCACTGGCCCTGAAGTCAGGAGGACCTGAGTTCAAATCTAACCTCAAACACTTCACACTAGCTGTGTGACACTGGGCAAGTCACTTAACCTCGACTGCTTTACCAAAAAGAGTACTGAAAATATGCTTCACTCTTTAATCTATGATCAGATCAGCCACACCTCAAAAGAATCCAACATACATGGATCATGCAAACTTTCATCAAGATTGCATCCAAGCCTATAATAACATACTGCACTTGAATCTTTTAGAATCCTATAAATAGCCAGGCATGGTAGTGCATGCTTAGAATCCCTGCTACTGGGGACACTAAGGCTGGTAAACTGCTTGAGCCCAAAAGTTCTGAGGTGAAGTGGGTTAACCAACGGGGTGTTTGTACTAAGTCCTATACCAGTACAGTGAGTTGTAAATCAAAGATCTGAACTTGTCTACAACGTCCAAATCCCTTTCCAAAGCAACCTAAGTTAGAATTGAATAGATTTCCAGGGTTTCTGACACTTCATATATGTTTGATTAAAAGTGAAGCTAATGCCACCCCTTTACCCCCTCCACCACCACCACAAGGGATGAGGGTGTTTGCCCTCACCAAACCTGAGAAGTCAGAAGAAAAAAGCTTCACCCAATAGGATCTTACCCCAAGAAATAATTTCAGGCTTTCTCATAAATGCAGCAGTTCGGAGAAAGGGCTGAGCACCTCTAAAGCCGGCAAAAAATACAGATTAATTGAAAAGCTGCAGTACAGTCTAACCAGTGACTTCCTGTATGATGAAACATCCTGAATGTGAAATAGTCATCTTAGGACAGTTAGTGGGTTTGCCCTACTCGTTACCAAGACTTTTTCCTGGTTCAGCAAAATCAGTGTTTCTCCAAGGCTTTTCTGGACTCACTCAGGCATGCATTCCTCCTCATACATAATTGTTTTAGGAAAAATAATACACACATAAAGCCCCAAAACATTCCCTCTGACCACCTTAGCTCACTTTGAACTGTTCTTGGGGGGGGCCCAAGAGTTTTCAACATCTTGTGTCAGAAGTTTTTACACACACACACACACACACACACACACACACACACACACACAGCAGACCCATTTTCACTCTTTCATTCAGCTATAGCACATTGCACGCATTCAACTCCCCCCCTTTTTAAAAATATTTGTATTATTAATGTAATAACTCTCAGCAAAGATAAATGACCAAATCAAATGAATGAAATATCACTTACAAGCCTTTAACAAAGTCCAAAGAAACAAATTAACAAACAAGAGGCAAAAAATGGATTTGTGCTGGGTACCTTTTCAAATTGATTTAAAGTTCTATCACCTTTGACTTTTTTCTTTAAAAAAAACACAGTTTTACTTAATGTTCTGATTCCATTCATTTCATTTTGTATCATTTCCTGTAGGTCTTTCTCTTTTTCCTTCTATTTTATATATTTGTCATTTTATGTCACCAAATATTCCATTATATTAATGTACTATAATTAATTCAAGCTGAATTAATTCAACCATAATTATACCATAATTAATTCCCTTAATTAATTAGGCAAGCAAGTATTTTTAAGCTCCTACTAGGTGCCAGACTGGGTTTAAAACCAACTTTCTTGTTCTTCCCCTGACAACAGGAGGTTTTGTAGCATGAGAGGCAGTGTGGTATAATGGCTAGAGAACTGACCTCAGAGTCAGGAGGACCTAGATTCAAGTTAGTCCCTTGACACATATTGGCCTGGGACTCTGGGCAAATTATTTCACTTTTTAATGACTCGGGCAACTCTATAAGACTAGAAGGGGCAGAACAGGGAGGTATCAATCTGTCCTGGGAAAAGGAATATTTTCATTGAGTGCTCCTTATCTAGACTTTTTCAAAGTATTGATTTGGTTTTTCTGATTATGTCTCATCTCCGTCTTTTTTCTTTTTTTTCCACCTTTCTCTTTAAAAATTACTATTTTTCTTTAAGATGGTTCTCTGGGATGGGGGAGGAGAAAGGGCTATTTGGAGAAATTCTGGTGATGTAAAAAATAAAAGTTACCAATAAAATATTTTAAATTATTAATTATTATTATTATAGTTATGGTTATAATTATATTAACAATTATAACCATAAGCCATATAAATGGGATTGTTATTATATTGATGATAATTATTATTAATAATTATTTTAACACATTTCTAAGGCAGAGCCAAAATGGCAGCATAGAGGGAGCATTCCAGCCAAACTCTCCTAACATTCCCTTCCAAACAACTTTAAAATAATAAAACAAATTCTTTAGCAGCATAGCCAATGAAAGGATGGTATGAGACATTTTTCTAACCAAAGACAACTTAGAAGGTTGGAAGGAGAGGTCTGTTACACTGGGACAGGGACTGGCTGGGAGTAAAGAATGTTGACAACACCAGCTGTGGGCCTTGGAGGTGTGGCAACTACATAAAACCATATTAGTAAGGAACCTCAAACTACCCCCTCTCAGAACTAGATAAATCTAACCATTAAATAAATAAGAAAGAAGTTAAAGAGATGAATAGAATTTCAGAAAAGTTAGATATGATAGACTTCTGGAGAAAATTGAATGGAAAAAGAAGGGGTATGCCTTTTTCCTCAGCTGTATATGGTACCTTTACAAAACAACAAAGCATTAGGGCACAAAAACTTCACAAACAAATGCAGAAAAGCAGAAATATTAAATGTACCCTTTTTGTTCCATAATGCAATAAAAATTACATTCAATAAAGGGCCTTGGAAGCATAGATTAAAAATTAGTTGGAAACAAATCAGTCTAATCCTAGAATGAGGAGGTCAAAGAACAAATAATAGTAACAATTAACAATTTTGTTAAAAAGAATGACAACAATGAGACAACATTGGAAATTGAGGGAATATCCATCAATTGGAGAATAGCTAGACAAATTGTGATATGTGATTATGATGGAATATAATTGTGCTATAAGAAATGATGAATAGGATGGTTTCAGAAGAACCTGGGAAGACTTATGTGAACTGATGCAAAGGGAAGTGAGCAGAATCAGAATACTGTACACAGTAACAGCAATATTATAAGGATAATCAAAGGTGAAAGACTTAGTTAATCTGATAAATACAATGATCCACAACAATTCCAAAAGACTCATGATGAAAAGTGCTAGCCACATCCAGAGAGAGAACTGATGATTTCTGAGTGCAGATTGAAGATACTGTTTTTCACTTTCTTTCTTTTTCTTGCCCTTTTTTTTTTGCAATGTAACAAATATAGAAATATGTTTTGTGTGACTTCCTACGTATAATTCATATCATATTGCTTGCTTTCTCAATGGGTTAGGGAGTGGCTAGAGAAAGAAACAGAATTTGGAACACAAAATTTTAAAAAGGAACGTTGAAAGTGTATTTCTCTGATCATTAGGGAAATTGAACATCTCATTATGTGGTCACAAATTTTTTGTATTTCCACTTTTGAAAATGATCCATTCAATGTAGCTTATTACAATTTCAGAAGGCTGAAGATGAAGTATACCTCTTGCTTTCAGAAGAGAAACCATGGACTGGCTACTGGTATAAAATGAGAACTATATTTTACAATGTGATGATTTGTGTTGCCTGCCTGTAGGTACTTTTTACAAGGGAAGATTGATTGTATTGGCAGGATTAGGAGTCATTGGGAAGTGATAGTAATGCTTTTAAAAAAAAAAGAGCATCAAGAAAATAGTTATTTTGAAAAAGAAAGAAAATAATCTATTAATGTCTTTTGAATGAATGAAAAAATTAGTCAAGCATTTCCTATATTCCAGGCACTGTGCTAAGTCCTGGGAATACAAATACAAAACAGGGAAAGTCTCTGCTCCAAGGAATTTATATTTTAATAGGGGAGAATAAGAGGGAGTAGCATCCAGGAAAGAGTGTTTTAGTCTAGGAAATCACAGAAATAGATGGAAATAATAGACTAAAAGACTGACAGTTCCCAGAGCAAGAGGTGAAAAGTAGAAGAGGGAGGAAGAAAATTTAAAAATATGTCCATAGTTCTTACTTCATAAATTCAGACCTGGAAGGAACTTCATCTGGTTCGCTCCCCTCATTTTACAGCTAAGAAAACTGAGGCTAATAAAGATTAACTGACTTGTCCAAGTTTATATATATTGCTTTTGTAGATATGTATCATTTCCTGATTCTAGATTTCAAACCTTTGTCTGATGTGTTTCCTACAAGTATTTTTCCAATCTGTTTCTTATCT